AGCATTAAAAACCAAAAGACCTAAGATGCTATTATGTTTTGGTTTCTATCACAATAGTAATGTTGAAGCATTATGTTCATGAGTTATTCTAAGATTAATCCACAATATTAAACTTATAATTCTCATTAAAAAATCTCATAAGTTAATAATCAAGCATAATCATAGGTATCCTATATCTCAATATGGATATGTATTCTCGTAAGCACCTATGCTGTAACAAAACTAGCATGCATCCTTAATTAATTTTATCTCTAAAATTAATCAATAAACACATGCATGAGATGATATTATCTCTAATCAACATCATATTAAAACCACAATATCATAAACATAGTTCAAATCATCAAAAACCATCATATAAGCATTTAATCGAACACTTTATATTCGATACAAAAAATAAATGTAATAAACATTCAACATTCACAATATCATTTTTCCTCTCTCAAGTTCAAAATAACAAGCTAATGTTGAACCCTAATCAATCACTACTGCTCCATCGCTATTATTGTACTCCCTCACAAATTAACTAGGCCACCATCGTGACTCAAATATATGGTGAAAGATATATGAGATGAAGAATTTGATGATCAAATGATGAGAAGATCACTCCTATTTATAGGTGGAGAAAATGGACCCTCAACAATGGTCTTTTGCCACAATTCAAGTGATTCTAGAGCCTTTGATAGTTGCCCTCTTCCAACTGTCCTAACTAGAGGGTTCTTCAATCTTCCTGGCGAGTCACCTAATGTTGCAAAACAATTCAACAATCTAACACAACATTCTAGCATAACATTATCTATAACAACAAGTAATGCCTCCAGCATCAGTGTACCAAATCTTAACAAAAACATAAATTTTAGTAAATATTTACTAACTTAGTCACATTATGCAAATGATGCAAAATAAGTAAAAAAATGATCCTAAAATGTTCCTAAAAATGCTCAAGTTCAAGCAAATCCTAGGTAAAAGGTTTTTAATTGATAACTCTTTGGGAGAGTTATCACACCCCTAAACCTAAGTGTTTGTTTGTTCTCAAGCAACTAAATGCATGCAACTATTAGTAATGTTGTAAGAAAAATATAAGGAAACCATTTGGAACCTTTCTTCTATTCCATTTTTTCAACCCTCAGCAAGATATACAACATGTATGATCTCAAATTGAAGAATGCAAATTTAACTTAGTAGTTTTAGAATTCGTAGTGTACAATAGTGTGTTGTCTAGGTATATCCACTAAATTCTTGGCTAAATTATAAAAAAAATTCACCTACTCAATTAACAATTTTCAATGCTACAACAATATGCCTTTATCTATGTTGGAACATTCCAACTTATTTCCTAAAAGCTATGTTGGAGCTATTACAAGCATTGCCCAACTTATTTCGTAATTTTTTAAGCATAATTATCTGCAATATCTAATATGGATATGAGATTTAAAGCTTAAAATTTCTAATTTCTCCAAATATTGAGAGCATACCCCTATAGTGTTCAAATGTACTATGAATCATATTTCCACTAAGTTTTTACAGTAATCTTCTATCATTTCACAACATCAAGTTTTCATTATTGGGTATCATTAAAATTTTCCTGAAATAAACTATCTTTCATTAGTTTCCTAAAACTAATATTAAAGCATTACTAATGCAATTCCTAAATGCTATAACAACTTATGCAAAAAAGTATGCAAACAACACTGACATGCACTCCTACACATAGCACAAACAAAAAATATAAAACCAAAAAACAATACACCCCCAAACCTAAGAGATGCATTGGACTCAATGCATACAAAAAATTAAATAATATGATGGGATAGAGAAAATAATACTCCGCTAAGTTAGCTTTCTTGGGCTTTTCTCGGGCTAGTGTTATTGGGGAAAACTCTCTTAGCAGTGATCTTCACTTTGGAAGAACTCTTCCACTTATGACTCAATTTCAGTGTAGTGGCCTTGGCAGCATTAGGACTTGGAGTAGCTACTACACTTGCAACAATTTTCATTTTTTGGGCAAGAGTTCTTATTTTGGCCCCTTCTTGTCCTTAGTGCCGCCAAATAAAACAACAAACTGATTCTTTGGCAAATTGGCTTCAACAAGATCTTCAACTTCAGTAATTACTTTGCTGAGTATTTGAGTAGATTCACTGTGTTGATGCTTTGGTGTTGCAACATCCTTCAGCATTACCTCAGCATTTAGGACCAATAGATCCTTAGCTGCTTCAACTTCTTTACTAGGCTTGCTTTGGAGGTTGAATCCCTTCTTGTCAACTTTTTCTTCATTGACATCCTCAAATTTGGCAGCAATGACATCAATATATGATTTCGAATCAACCACACTATCTTCATCTTCCTCTCCCTTCTCCTCAGAATGAATCTCATAATCCTCACCTTTCATTGATGTATCTTTATCATCAGCATCTTCTTCATTCTTCTGCTCAGAGCTTGCAGAGCTAGCTGTTGCATCTAGCATTGTTAGTGGAGTTAAATCGTTTAACACCAGAATTGGGAAAGCTGAAAAATGAACATCTAGCTTCTTGAATTGTTTGGTTATAACTTGTTGGAAAGCCATGTCACAATCTTTGGCCTAATTACAATATTGCACTTGTTCATTATGTGCTTGACACTAATTCTGTAAAATGTGACTAAACATGAACTGGATGTTATCTTGCTTTGTTGCCATCATGACATGACATTCTTTAATTTTAGTAAAATAGGATCCGCTGGTAACTTTTCTCCTTGAGCAGTAGCATTAACATGATCACTAAATGCTTCATCCTCATGTTGTTCAAATTTTGGCCATTGATCGAACCAAGTCTAATAGGAGGTTATTTGTGAAAACATAATCAGAAGACAAGATGGCCACTTGTGATTGATAGCACAATGAAGTTTTTCTGAGCACAATAAAAAATATTATCTGAGATGGTTTTTCCTACATCAATATGTCTTCCAGCCAATATCGAATTCAACAACAAAATTCCATCTTTAGTAATATAGGAATAATGAATGGTAGGCATTAATATAGTTCAAAGAAAAGTAAACCACCCTTGCCTGTTTGTTTAGGTATAGCCTCTTCATATTGTATACTTTTGTAGGTGATATATCCCATGATTTTCCTAGAATGCACACATCAACACCGACTTGAGCCAACTGAGCTGGGGTTAAATTTTCAACAAATGTTTAATGCTCACATGTAGCATCCCATATGCCCAATAATGCATTAATCAGCTTGGCCTACCAGTGTACTATGCTTTCACGAACATAAACCAAGGGCTTCTCTGCATCAGTTAAGTTGCTATAGAACTCCCATACGAGCTCTTGAATAATGCCATCAGGATGCTTAGAGAATTTTACCCAGTGGAGAATGGTTATAGTGTCAGTGATGTAATTCACCTTTTGTAAATCATTTTTGGATGAAAGATCGAAGTCATGTTCATAACAGAAGTCTCAATTAGAGAATGATTCCTCATGTATCTTCTGATTTTTTGACTCAAACTTCATGGGTTATTCAATAGCAATTAGCAATGGATATGGCACTCGTGGTGGTGGTGTAGGTGGTCGACGATAGCCTTTAACAGTTATTTTTTCTTTGGCACCATGGGAGAAGGCTTGAAACATTTCAGAAAGAAATCAATAGAGGAAAGAAAATAAAAATAGGAGATTTGCTTGGAATAAATTCGACCAAAGAAGGAAGAAAGTATTAAGGTAAAAATTTACAAGAGTTGCGTGTGGAAAAAGGGGGTAATAAATGAAAAGCAATTAAATTAAATAGGGGAAAAAGATTGGGATAAGAGTGATTTGAATGAAGGGTTGTGATTAGGGATGTTGGAAGGTTATGCTTTAATGGAAGAAAAGATGGGGTACAACTCATACAATTTTACTACCCAAAATTTTTACCCCAGCCAACTGTAAATTTCTACAGCACCGGACACGACATTTGATACCTCAAATGAGAGCTAAATGTTGTTCAACATCCAATTAAGAAAAGAAACTATGAAGCTGAATGCTAAGCTACATCGAAGACCTGTACGCAAAAGAAGTAAAATGAATAAAAAACTAACTAATGTCCAAATTAACTTATTAAATTCCATAGAAATTAAAAACACTACAAGAAAATATACCTTTAATGACACATGAACAATGACACACGCTAATTTATGACTTGCAAAAACTGTGTCATAAAAAAAGGTCACGTTTCTTAAAATATGAACGATTTATGACTTACAATAATGTGTGTCATATTTAATAGTCATAATCCAAAAAATTTACAAAACACGGAATACACTTTTTAAATGTGTGTCATCTATAAAAGTCATCTTTTAATTCCCCCCCCATTATTTTCATCCTTTCCCGCTTTTCCCCCCTCGATAATTATCAGTTCACTCCGCATGCTTCCCCTTTTTCTCTTTTTACCTTTTTCCTTTTGTCCAAAACGTCATCTTCTCGAAGGGATTATGTTATCTTTTTATTGCAGTGATTTTGCATACAACTACCTCGAAGGGACCACTCCAAGCGAATGTGCTTCAATGAATTTGACTTTTGCATCCACCATCACGTACGATAGCCGAGCAATTGTCATTGACGAGAAACACCGCGTTTTGGTATCCGGCTCCATTCACTACCCTCGCAGTACCCCTGATGTAAGCTTGAATTTTCTGTCATTTTCCCCCTCGTTTTCCCTTTACCCGTTTTTAGAAGAGGAAAAATGTGTTTCATGTTTTTAGATGTGGCCGGACCTTAGACAAAAATCCAAATACGGAGGATTAGATATGATCAAAACTTACGTTTTCTAGAATCTGTACGAACCAGTTCGAAACCAGGTTCTGCCTTCTTTTTTCCTCTTCAGTTGCTATGCTAAAACTGTTCTAAACTTATGCACTAAAAATTAATCCCATTGATTATTTCCCTGAGTTTTGATTATCGATGTTTACAGTATAATTTCGAAGGAAGAAACGATTTGGTTAAATTTGTGAAGTTAGTTGCAACAGTTGGTCTTTATGTTCATCTACGCATCGGACCATATGTTTGTGTTGAATGGAATTATGGGTAAAATTTTATTTATTTATTTATTTTTGGGTATGTTTAATTTTATTTTATTTGTTGATAAAATATTTGCAGTGGATTTCCTCTTTGGTTACATTTTATACCCGGGATCAAGTTCCGAACTGATAACGAACCATTTAAGGTAATATATTTATCCATAAAAATATTATTACTTTATTATTTATATAAATTAATCTCTTCTTTATTCATCATTATCTTCTGTTTCGTAAAGTTCACTAAAATTGTTGGAAGGACTATTAGCTGAAATGATTAAAAACAAGTGTAAAAAAATTTTAGGCAAAAATGCAGAGGTTCACGGCCAAAATTGTGGACATGATGAAGCAAGAGAAATTGTATGCATCACAAGGAGGACCATTATTTTGTCACATGTATACGTTTTGTCTTTGCTCTTTTCTTCTCCAACTTTCTTATGAACAATTCCTGTTGTTTTGTCGGTGCTATAATATTTCCCCTAATGGTTTTCTGGGTTTTCTTATACAGATTGAAAATGAATATGGAAACATTGATTCAGCATATGGCGCAGGTACAAAACCATATATTAAATGGGCAGCTGTTATGGTTGTCTCATTGGATACTAGAGTTCCCTAGGTCATATGCCAGCAATCTGATACTCCTGACCCTATTGTAAGTTTAGGGTTTCAAGATTTAGGTTTTTTACTTGCAATTTCGATCATAGTTAATCATTTCGCTTGGAATTTACATGTTTTAGTCAAAAAGGGTTTCAGTATGTTTCTTGTTTGATTTGAAAATCAGGGCATTGGTTGGTTTTTGATACACAATTTCTTCTTTTATCTTGGCAATGATAGATTAACACCTGTAATGGATTCTACTGTGATCAATTCACTCCAAATTCTAATAAGAAACCGAGAATTGGTTTGGATGGTATGGTGTCCAAGTCCAACTCGTCAATATAATTTATAATCTGACTTCTACTTAGTAACTGTTTTGGTGATATGGATTAAATGTCTCCATCATAATGGTGATTGCTTGCTTCTCTTATTCAACTTTTTATCAAAAACTATTTCTTCTTCATTACTTCCCAATATATTTCAAATGATAGGTTCCTTTCATTTGGTGGTGTCGTTCCCTACAGACCTGTAGAAGACCTAGCATTTGCGGTTGCGCGGTTTTACCAAAGAGGTGGAACTTTCCAAAACTATTATATGGTAATCATAATTGGAGTTTCAAATGTGTTTGTGCATTGGCTTTTATAGTAATAAAATTCAATCCTAGAATCTAGTACGCAGTCTCATTTCGAACGGGTCAATTTTTTTTTGTTTCTCTTAAAACAGTATCATGGTGGAACGAACTTTGGCAGGACTATAGGTGGACCCTTCATTGCTACTAGTTATAATTATGATGCTCCGATTGATTAGTACGGTATGTCTTCAGTCAATCTAATAAAATTTTTAGCACTTCTAAGCATCTACTTGGCCTCCTGTAACATACTTGAGGTTATCATCTTGTATGCAACTTGACTCATATCGATGGTTATTACAATAGAATGAGTAATGTAAAACCATGATTATTCAGTTTATAATTTCATAAACGACATCTTCTAAGTTTCACCTGTCTTCCAATTCACTGTTTTTTTCCAGGACTTGTTAGACAACCTAAGTGGGGTCACCTAAGAGATGTTCATAAGGCTATAAAGCTTTGTGAAGAAGCAATGATAGCCACTGATCCTACCATTTCCTCCTTGGGTCCAAACTTGGAGGTATTTTCCATATTTATTCTTTTCCTTCTCATTTTAAAAGAGAACCTTACTTCTTTGCTTCTATGTTGGTTATGAATAAGAACTCAAGGAGGGCTGCCTCTTTTTTACTTCTTTGTCTGATTAGTGAGCAAGGGTCCCGTTGAAATCTCAAGGATCATAATATTTTATACACAAATGACAAAAGATAAATCACTTTTTTCTGATCATAAACTCTTCTTAAGACTTTTCTTGAGAAAAAAATGTGCTCAGGCTATTATTGAAAGATATAGTTGAAAATCAATTAACAGTGGCCCAACAATTTCTTCAGCCAGATCTTGTTTAAATTAATCTGTTCATCGACGTATTTCCTTCTTCTTCCCAAGCTACTGTATATAAAACAGGATCATTATGTTCTGCGTTTCTTGCTAATGTGGACACCAAATCTGATGCAACTGTTAAATTCAATGGTAATTCATACCTTTTGCCTGCGTTAGCAGCTTTTCTATCTTCATTAGCAGCTTAACCAGGTTGCTTCTTGTTATAGATTTTCATTCCATAACTAGTCAAGATTCTTTATGACAAGTTTCTTTGAAATATTGGAATGAATAACATAAATTATGTAAAACTAGCTTTTCTATCTTCTCTTACAAAAGGATCATAGTTGGAAATTCAAGTTGTCATTATTTTTGGGTTTATATAACCTAACTCTGCAAAAGAGAATGTCTGAAAACCTCCCTCGCAGTTGTACAATGTATTTCTTCCTCGGATTAGGTCAGTCTTTTAGGATCTCATCGGTTTTTACCTTTGATCAAATGAAATGGGGGGATACATATTTAACAAGCTAGCTGCAATGAACCTTCCATATCGGTTGTAAAGTATAATGTGATGAGTTTATGATTATTTTCACTTCAGAACACTAATCAGATCATTTCTGTAGATTGTGTCTACTTCATCTGCCATGGATTGCTTGCATTTATATTTACTTAATTATGTTAATTTGTTCTTTCAAGTAACTCATATAGTTTTATTCTTCAAATGACAGATTAACTCTCAGACTGTAATTCCTAGCTTCATGCATGAATCTTTGAATACCAATGCCAACTCAACTGACTCAAGTGATTTCTCTGAATTTTATTTAAAGTTGTACATATAGAGATTGAATGTAGTAAATATACCCTCTACTTCTTGTATAAATTCACTTGTTTGAAAAGTCCCCCAAAATATACGCTTCTCGTAGTCGTCATGGATACCAGGAAAATGTTGGTCGTCTGGATAGTTGCAATGTTTTGCTTTACCTTGTTTAGATTTGCTGAGTCTAAGGTGGCCAAATAAGAAGGTGAGTCAAAGTTCAAGATTTGATTTTTATTTGTGGTAGTTTCATTTTGTTTATGAGATTGTGGGGGAAAACGGGTGTAAGAGCTCTTGAAATGATTTGCTATGATGACTCTACATGCTAATTGTAATCGTGAGCAGTAGTGTTTAACTGCTTTATGTTATCTTTTTGTTGCAGTGATTTTGCATACAACTTTGTAAGGAAAACTCAGTACCTTTTCTTCTTGTTTAATATTTTACGATTCTCTTAATTTCTTGTTAAATTGGCCTTGATCAAATGATTTGTTTTCATGCTCATTGTAATTTCAGGATGCTCTCCTCCAATTATTTAACTCAGAATTTGCCAGTGACGTTTAATTTACTAAGAAATCTAACTAACTTGTAAGTTTCTTCAAATTTTCCTCTATTTTAAACCACGTATCTGGACACGTTCATATGATCAACACTCATGTGTTTGCAAATATTGCATTTATCTTTTGTGCAGGAGGATTAGTGATATAAATGGGCCAAGTCAGGATTTTCTTGTGCTCAGAAACATGAAACGCCTACTGACATTGTATGTTTTGTGCTCAAATTATCAAATATTTTGAAGGTTCCATCTATATATGATTTTTTGACAGAACATAATCCCGTTATATTTGTATAGGGTTTTGAGGAATCTTATGTGACAAACTTTATTATGCATGCTATTTTGTATCGACATATGATTACAATATTTTGTATCGCTTAATGTGAATATATTGTGTGCAAATGGATTGCTTATATAAATATGATATATATATTTAGTATTATGAGGCATTAAATGTGATTTAGTTTGATTATTTGTCAATCTACAATATATATATATATATATATAATTTACAACATACAATCACGACACAGGAATGTGTGTCATCTTTTCTAATGACGTGTGCTTCAATGACATGTAATGTAAGTCATAAATGCGTGTCATAAATTTATGACACACAATGTTGTCGTCTTCATTATGACAAGGGCTTATGACGTGCAATGAGCATCATAAATGCTCGTCATAAATGCGTGTCATAAATGCGCGTCATAAATTTATGACGTACAATTGCATGTCATCTGAGATTCATGTCAGTGGCTTCAACGACAGGCATTGTGTGTCATTCCGCACCCATAGATGATGTGCAATTCGCTTCATTAAAGGGGGTTTTTCTAGTAGTGAAAGTAGTATTACGCTTAGTGTGATGAAAGAAACATGTAGGATTGGTTGCTGGCAATAGGGCTTTAAACGTTGCCCATTGACTTTAAATGTACTTCCATCGGCCAAGTTCTTTATTACCACAACACCATGATGAAAAACTTCCACAACTTCAAAAGGTCCAGACCATCGTGACTTTAGCTTCCCAAGAAATAGCTTAAGGAGAGAGTTGAATAACAACATGTTGTCCAACATTGAATTGTTTTGGCAAGATATGTTTGTCATTCCATCTTTTACTCTTTTCCCTATAAATTTGTGTACTCTCATAAGCATTGTTCCTCATCTCCTCTATTTCATTGATGTCCAACAGTCATTTTTCACCCGTAACATCCAAATTGAAGTTTAATTGTTTTAGCACCCACATGGATTTATGTTCCAACTCTACGGGTAAATGGAAAGCTTTTCCATACACTAGGTGATAAGGAGACATGCCCAGTGATGTCTTATATGATGTTTTATAAGCCTATAATGCATCTGCAAGACATAAAAACCAATCATTTTGAGAAGATTTAACAACTTTCTTGAGAATTCGTTTGATCTCGCGGTTTGAAACCTCAGCTTGGCTATTAGTCTGGGGATGGTATGTTGTAGCAATCCGATGTTTTACCATACTGATTTAATGTTCTAACAACTTGAATACCAATGAATTGAGATCCTTCGTCGCTGATAAAACACGCGACGTTCCAAAGCGAGTGAAACTATTTTACGTCTCAACTTCCACCCATTTCGAAACGTAAGAAACATTACTCCAAATATTTCAAAATCATTTTTAATCTTACTTAAGTGTAAAATTAAGTTTTAATTTTAAAACATTTCAAAATAAGCTTTCAAAGTATTTCGAACCATTTCAAACCAAAAATTCCAGATTGCTCAGAGGGAACCGATTCCCACCAAGGGGGTACCGATTCCCCTGAATGGTTTGGCTCTGAGATTCCAGATGCTCGGAGGGAACCGATTCCCCATAGGGGTACCGATTCCCCCTGTTCAATGGTCAAATATTTGAATTTACACTTAGGGAACGATCCCCTATTAGGGGGAACCGATTCCCCCATGCTCCAAGCTGTTTTATTAATGTTTTCACACTAAAACGGCTATATTAT